GGCACTGGGCTCTGGTGTCAAGAAAACTCTACCAAAGCTTGACTGAAGGATCTTGTACATTGGTGCTCCATCTGGGTTATTCAAGGATGAGGATGAAGGCAGTGTGATGCTGTCCCATTTCTTTTCCCTCTGGTGCTGCTGACCCTCTTAGTGCATGTCCTGGCACCGGGGGACAAGAAGGGATGAGCCCTATCCTGTTTGAAGTATTATAATCCTTTCAGATGGCATTTGTGCCTCGGCCAGTAACAGCTTTATAACTGAACCTCCTGCTTGCAGAGGCCCCACGCTTCAGTGGGACATTTAAATCTCATTTGTATAATGCCTGGTTGCAATTCCTGCTGGAAGATTGCCCTCTGCCTCCAGTGCCCCTGAGCCATGCTGAACACAAAGATTTCCTAGCAGGCAGAGGAGTGACAGAGCATGGCCAGGCAACAACATGCCACATGGCTTCTGAATTTCTAGAGCTTTCACTTGTTTATTGGAACTTTTGATAGCCAGGTGTAATTTTTTATTTCCCCCTCCCCTCCTATTTTTTAATGCTGAGTCCCAGGGAAGGCTCAGTAGTAAGTGCTCGATCAGAGATTATGTAGGGATGAGATTTTCCAGGGAAAGCTGGGTGTGAGGCAAATGGAGGTAGAGGCACGTTTGGCTGCTGCCAGACCCCTTTGGGGTCATCATTGCACCTGCACAGGCAAAACCTCTTTTCTAGCCAAAGATGGGGCTTCCTGTCAAACCCTGTCAGCTCTGTCAGCCTGCTGGGCTGGCTTGAGTTTGCTGCCTCCTGCAAGGATGCTCATGGTGCCAGTCCAATTCACTCTGGTCTAAAGGCAAAACTCAGCATCCCCAAAAGGAAAGTGGCTTTTATTTTAGCAAAGGTTTAAGTTTGCTATTTTAAAACAATACCATGAAAGAAGAAAGTGAATCAGAATCTGCTTTTGGCTTGCACCGCCCACACCTTGTCTTCCTGGGCAGCTGGAGGCTGGTCCTGGGGTCCGGTGTGATCTGCCTGTCTCCAGTCACCGCTGGCTGTGCTTGGGCCAGGCTTTTCACCTGAAATGCCCTTTCATTGCTGGACTGCCTCACAGCAGCCAAAGTGCTTCCACAACATGCCTGCTCCCTGCCCAATGTCCAGCCTGCTCTGGCCTCCCATGCCAGTGAGGGGTGCTGGGGACTGCCTGTAGGAGCAGAGCTTCCCATGGGGACGCTGTGGGCCCACATTAGCAGCCGGCTGAGTTGCTTGTTCCTCCTTCCCGCTCCAGCAATCCCTGCTGTACTGTAATCACACAATTATTATGCCATTAAAATGTCATATTCGCAGAAATCCACATAAACAAGGCATTAGCAGTTGCCAGAAAATTGTAGTTTTACTGCTAATGACCCACTTTCCCCCTGCAGCACCACTCCTTTTTTTTTTTAATATTTTTTTTTCCCCCCCCCCCCTTTTTTTTTTTGTTTTGTTTCTGAGCCGTGATTTAGGAGGCAGATGACGAACTACATCTTTGCACTGAGAGGCTTTTAATCTTTAATGTGCAGTTACGGTGAAAAGCTGCCTCTGTGCTGGCTCTTGGCCATTTTCCCTTTGCCAGCAAGGGGGTGGGCAGTTTTGGGGGGCTGCCTTTAGTAGGTCTTTTTGAGGGGGTGTGCTTTAAGTGAAATAGCAGAGAAAGCTGTTGGTGAGCCTTTCTCATGGCTGGATGCTGGTGTGAGAAGGGAACTCCTCTCCACAATGAGTTTTGTCCATGCCCTGGGGATCCCCCCAGTGCGGTGTCAGAAGGGGCAACACTTGTTCACTGAGAGCAGAGAGCTACCCCTTTGATATATTTTTCATTTCTTTCCTTCAGACTCATTGAGTCTTTCAAACTCTTTTTAAGCATTGACTGTGTTTCCTATAATTAATACCAGCCATTAAACTGCAATGTTGAAAGAGAAATTACCTAATTCCAACAAAAAAAAAGAAAATTTATTATTCGTACATGAGAGAAAATGAATATGAAACTTGGAGAGACGAACCCTGTAGAAGATAAATAGAAAGGCAAGTGGAGAATTGACTTGATCCTTTTCTAGTGCACGGTAATTTGGCCTCTAAAGTGAGTTAGATCATAATAAATTAAATTTAGATTTCTGTGTGTCAGTTAAATAACTCCCAAGACAGAATTCTGATGTGAGGAAGAGGTGGTAATACATGGTGGAAATATTATAATGAAGACCTTATCTGGTAACCTGTAACCGATGTGCTGTCCCTGGGTGAGCAAAGGGGATTTCTCCTGGTGCTTTAACTCTCATTCCCTGTCCCTGATCAGGCGCCAAGAAACAGGTGAGTCCCTGCATTGGTGAGGTCTTCTGCCTCCTATGATTTACATAGGTGGCAGCTTTTCATCCGAGGATGCTGCCTTGCTTTACTTCTCTGCTTTGTGCAGGAGTTTTTTTGCAGAGGTCGGTGTGCACGTGCGTCTGAGCATCCTGTTCCAATTTTGGTAAGAATGCTTGGGATGGAAAGAGCGCCCAGAAGATTTGGACAGGTGATGTGGATTGAAAGTGAATGACCCCACCGGGGTGTCTGCTTCTGGCTGAGAAAGTTAACCCCATCTCTGGGCTTGTTTTGTGGCCAGATAGGGATTAAAATAACTCTTTAATCTCTGCCATCTATTTGCTCTTGATCTCAGGTGTGTATTTAATTACCCACTATTTAGTAACCATCCCACTGATATCTTTCCTCAACCCAGAAAGGAGAGCCTGGGTGAATCAAGGTGAGGCTGATGTCTTTCAGGTGGAGATTTCATAGGAGTATTAGTTACTCACTGCAGAGCAAACCAAGAATGGAACCCTTGGGTGCAAGGTATATCCATGGCAGTAGGAGAAGCAAACATCATGGGATAAGCCAGTGGCATTTGTCCTTGTATTGATTTACTGGTGGGATTCCCCAGCAACAGAACATTACTGGGGTTAGATGGATGCTGGGAAAATGCCATCCCAGACCCTGAAGCACAGGCCAGGACCCTGTTGTGTGTTGAACCCCTACTTCTGTTGCCTGGCCAGAGCATCACTGCCCTTGCAGCAGGTGCAGAAGCTCCAGTTTTCCTGGAGCCACAGTTTCTTGCAGAAATCCACCAGCCCTCCCACCTGAGCCATCATATTCTTTCCTGCCTGTGCCCTTCTAGCTGATCCAAGACTATTGGGTTTAACTGACGTTAAAAAACAAACAAAAACCCATATATATTCACACATCTTACAGCCTCAAGTGCTACATGGCCACTTTTGAAAGCCATTTTTCTTATTAAGTTTGATAAAACCAAGTTTTATTTTTCTTCACAGCATTAAAATTTAGGGACTGCAACTCCGTGGCGGTTGTTTTAGCAGCGCTAGGCCTCCCGGGGTCATCATGAAATCTTATAAACATCAGGCTGTCGGTGACTCTGCGATGCAATCGCCTCTCTTTTCCCTGATCTTTTACTGTGGCAGTAAATCACGTTTTGCAAGATGCCTTAGAAAAAAGCGTAAACAGTATTTATCACCCTGAGCACGTCGGTCCTCCCAAAAGTCCGCAGGCGGGTTCTGTACATCCTCCTCGTAAACCTCCTGCAGTGACCTTACTGGTTTCATAACTTTCTCCCAGCCTTGGTTAACTTTCCCTTGGTCTTGAGTAACTTTCTCCCAGTGTGGTTGGTGGCTTCTTCTGATATTCCCACACTGGGGTAAATGCTGGAGGAGCTCCTGAGAAGGCCATGGGTTCACACCAGGGGAGGATGAATGCAACCCTGTGTCTGGAAACTCCTACATCCCTGGGCTTTGCTGCCTGTTTGGAAGTGCTCACGTTGCCGTAACCCAGAGCGATGTGGGGCATCCTGTGTTTGGAGGTGCCTGGCTTGGTCCTTCAGTGGTTCACTTGCAGGAGCCAGTACTCCCTTCTCCCCTTCTTATGACTACAGAAAATGCACTACCAGATGCGAGTAAAATCAATTACGGGATAAAAATCAACCATTTCAAAAGCTTCATTTTGTGCTATTAGCAGGCAAAATCGGCTTTGAGATGGTGTGAACTGAGAAGGGGGAAAAAAAAGAAAAGAAGAAGAAAAGATCAATTATTGGATAAGATCACAATTTTCTTTAGGGCTGAGATGTCTGTAAATGTTTTCATCTCTCCGTGTTACAGGTAGGCTGAGATCAAAGAGGTTGTGCTGCTGTAACAATGAGATGTTATCAGCATGGTATTGTGCTGGCTGGCTCAGACACTGCCAACGGGTGCTTAAACCCCCTGACAGCATCATGCTGCAGAGGGATGCTTAAACCCCCTGACAGCACCAAGTCACCAAGAGATGCTTAAACCCCCGATGGTTGTCAGAGCTGTTGGGTAACCCCAAAATGCAGCTCCTCCATCCTTCTGGAGGGAGGACCACACGAGCACGTGCTTACCTGCTCTTCTCTCTGTGGTAGGGCTGAAGACCTTAGTGGGAGACTTGTTGTGGCAAAGATGGACTGAAATTGGGGTGGGAGTATGGTGGCCCCCTTCTTCTAGAGTCCTGTTGCTGGAGCCAGCCCTCGGCCTAGGGAGTGACTGCGGAAATTTGGGACTGTGCTTGATGAAACGGCTCCTGTTGGTGGCCCTTTCCTGCCTGAAGGGTTACAGGGGTGATGGGTCAAGTGATGTAAAATACATTTGTGTTTTGGCTAGAGAGAAATTAAAACCCTTACAAAACCTTTGTGCTTTTATATTTCTTGAGACCATGCTGCTTGAGAGGGGGATCCCCCAGAGACCTGAATTTGGTTTCAAATTAGTCATTTTGAATTCAAATTGGCAGGCTCTCTTTGACATGGTGTTTTGGGACCTAAGGAAAAAAATAAACCCTGAAGACCTAATGGGACTCCTTCTTGGCCTGCTCTTGCAATGCTTGCCCATGTTGCAGGGCTAACTGACCTCCGGTGGGACTTGGGAGGATCTCCAGAGTGGGGTCAGGTGTTGTCTGGTCTCTCCTCTCTCTAACGGGGCTGACTTTGTGCGCGCAGGAATCGGATGTGGACTGGGACGACCTTTGGGATCAGTTTGAAGAGCGGAGGTACCTGAGTGCCCGGAGGTGGAAGGGCGGCGAGGACCCGTACCGGCTCCATGCCTTTAACCAGCGGGAGAGCGAGAGGATCCCCAGTGACCGTGCTGTCCGTGACACCCGCCATCACAGGTTCTGCCTCCTCCCTGGTTTCTCCTGATCTCGTGAAACTTCATTATATGGGTGGATAGTTCCGTTCCTTTTCAGGGCCGTGGTTTTGGGGTGCTAGGTGGGTCTGGGCCCTTGGCCCACACCCAGTGGGTGTTCTTGGGATTGCTTCTGCCTGAGTTATATTTTTAGGATTGACTCACTTTGCTTGATTTCTTGTCATGTCTGGAAGTCTTAAACCTAATAATTAAAACCTATATAAATTTTCCTAGGACTATAAGGAAAGAGAGGAAAAGCCTTTTTTTTGCCTTCAGAAAAGTAATGGGTGTGCAAGAACACAAATCCATGATGGTAAAAATTTTCACTGCTGCTGGGAGCTCTTGGTCTGCAGACAATGCAGTGAAGTGGCGCAAGGCAGATAAAATAACTGTTAAACGTTGATTTGGCTCTGCAGAGAGAGGAGTGGGGAATGAGAGACAGTGGCTGAGTGAGAGGAAGAGAGAGGTAAGAACTTGCTGGATTACTGGCTGCTCCAGCACCACTGAGGTGAAAAATATCCTCTGGCACCCAAAGGACGCCTTGGGAGAGGCAGAGAGGATTGCAGCAAGGGCTGTGGTGTAGACAGAGCTCTGCTTCCTTGTCAGCATGAGAAGGGTGGGATGGGAGTTTTGGTGCACCTTGCTTGCTGAGAGCTCAGCTGTAGCCTCCTGTCGTTGCCTCTCCAGACTCATGAGGGAAGAGCTGCCCTTTTTGGGTGGAGGTTGTTGAAGGTCAGTGGGGTTAATTGTTAGTTTGCTGCATGGAGTGATGCAGAGGTGTCCCACAAGTGAAGGAAAAACTCCCAAGGTTCCCTCAATGCAGTTTTCCTCATTGTCTTCTGAGGCACAGCATATGCCTGGCCCCTGCTGTCAGTCGCCAGCCCACAGCTGGTGCAAGCCCTTTCCAAGGAGCTCTGCCTGGCATCATGTCCCAGCTTGCTGGCAGCAGCCATTCTCTACAATCTTCTCCTGGGAACCCTTTGCGGGAAATCCTGCTTTGGTGGGAGCTCTGTGATGGACCCGCTCATGGCACCTTGCTGCCCGTGCTGCACCTTGTTCCCAGATCAGAGAAACTCCACTCCCAGCATCTGACCCAACTCTGAATTTCCCCTATTCCAGTTCAAAGGCAGCACTTAGGCTGAAATGCTGAAACAGCACCAGTTCTCCTGCTCTATAACAAGCAATGTGCTTATTTATTTATTTAGCTTCTTTTTGTAGTAAGGACCAGATGCTCTTTTCTCTGGAGAGGAGCTGTCAGCCCTGACAGACGCCTGTTATAGCTGAGCAGAGAGCAAGTGTGCTATTCCTGGAGAGAATTAATGCCAGGGATATTAACCATCTGCCCTATTAAAAGGGAAGATCGACTCGGCTGCCCCTTTGCCATACCCGTGCTGTGCGGTGGCAGCCACCTTGTTCCTGGATGGGCAGATGCGGCGCTGAGTGCTCCTGTGAAAGAGAAGTTCTCATTAAGGAGGAAGTGAGGGCACAGCACCTGGGAGGGGCTAGGCCTAATTTAATTTGTTTCCAATTTCCTTAACCCGGTAATTGGATTCTGATTTATTGAATATGTCTGGAGAACGCTGCGGATGATGCGCCATTAGCCAAGCATTTGAGCGGCCACAGAGGAAATGGGGCTGCCGGGAGATCTGGGGGAGGCAAGCACTGATGGGGAGTATGGAGGAGGGAAAAGAATCTGGGATTGTTGGTTGAGGGAGAGAGGAAAGTGCATAGCTAAGCCCTCTCAGGAAAAAATAATCCTTGTTTACAGCACAGGTATCCCGGGAGCTGCTGCAGGTGATGCTCAGGCACTACCATGCAACCCAGAAGCTGCTCTTGCATTGTCCAGTACAACTGTGTGGGGAAGCATGGATAAGCATGGCCTGGTCTTGAAGCAGGGACAAATTGCTGATGGCTATGCAAGAATATACATAGAAATATATAAAGAGAGTCGAGCATGGTGTTGGCTAGGAGATGTCCCTCCTGTGAAGGGAAGAGTAGAATTCTGTGGACCAGGGAGAAGGGACACCCCCAGGGCTCATGCTGCATGACCTACTGGAGGCTGTGTTTAGGGGCTTGATTTCAATGGAAAACCTAGATTAGGCTGCTTCATTTGAGCCAGACTGGAAGTGTTCAGGCTTCCTTGTTTGAGAGTGAACCCAAGGATTTGGACCTTGATTCTGCTCCAGCTGACTTTGGGGGAAGATACATCCTGTCACAGATCCTACACTAAGGGGCACCGCCATGTCAAGGGGCTCCTGCCTGGCTCACATGAGGGCTTAGGAGGCTTTTGAGAGGGTCTCACCCATCTCTTCAGCTCATACCCTTGGGCACGCAGGTTCTCCTTCAGCCTCTCGGTCAGATGTTGTTGCTCAAAGCAGATTGCTCTGCTCTGTGACCAAGTTTCCAGTGTGCTGGCTCCCAATCTTTTATCCCCTTTGTATGACACATGGCAGCACTGAGATGCACAGACCTGCAGACCATGGTAATGTCCCAAGACCCCACACCCTGTAGTCCCGATCCTAGGGACTGGGATGTGGGAATGCTGCTCCTTGCAGCTTCTCTGTGGGCTATTTTTCATTAGGATGGTTGCAGAAGATTTCCTGGAGTTTTCTTTGGTAATCGAGCCAGGCACCTGGACTTGCCAACAATAGCTGAAAAATCTGGCAAAGGCTGAGCAGCAAGCTCCTTACCAGAAGGGCATGGAGAGGGCAAATGCTTTCGATGGGATAGGATGTGGCACTGACAGCCAGTTGCTTAGCAATGTTTGCTGGATTGATTTTGTTTTTAAATTACAGCCAGTGGAATAGTTTCAGATGGAGAGGAATTGCAGTGCTCCAAGGAGTCAGAGTTGGAGAAACAGTGGTGGCTCTCCTTGCCTGTCTCTAGCCAGTGTGGGGCTGTGACCTTGTGCTTCATTTGAGGGTGCTTTCAGCCAGGGAAATATCATGCCTTCTGTGCACTGCCTTGTGTCACTTGGCCTGTGAGATCTCACAGCTGGAGCATTGCTCCTGGTGACCCTCTTGCATTTTGGTGCCATTAACTCCATTCCTGGTTGCACATTGATTAAGCTCTGGGACCACATAAAGAGATGCCTTTCTCCAGGAGAGGACCTCATATGTTTCTGTGGTGGTGTATCCCATCCCCACTCAGAGTTAAGGTTAAAAAATCCCTGTGGCTGCATCAGCAGATTGGACCTGGATCTTAGTGGCACATCCACGCTGTGCACAGCCAGCTCATACCGCTAGAGTGGGTGGCTAGTCCCCCTCCATCATGGTAGCCACATGCCATTGGGATTACTTCATCTCCACATCCCACTTTCTACAACTCCCACTGGCAAACCGCAGGACCGAAACGGCAGTGAATGAGTCAGTGCTGGGCGTGTGCACTAGTGGGAGAGGAGCTGAGGTTTCCAATATTGCTCAGTGGCTTGGAAAGCTGACAGGGAGGATGTGTCGCCCCCAGCCATAAGATTTTGTCGTGATGGCTCCTGGGCTTTTTCCATCTGTGGCAGACAGCTCCTGAGGAGGCCAGTATTCACCATGCAATCGCTCCATATGCTGCTTAGGCTGACCTCTGCCTCCCAAATGCTTCAGTGGGTTTGAAAGATGTGCAGATGCCACAGTTGTGGCTGCCAGGCTGAACTGGGACCACGAGTCACGGCCAGCACCAGCCTGAGTGGGGGTTTGTGCTGGCTGGTGGCAGCGAAGCAGAGAGGTGAATTCAGGGACAAGGAGAGTAAAGGAGAGGCTGGAGGAGAGGTGAGAGCCTCCAGCAGACTTCTCTAGCTATTGCAAATCATGTCAGACAGCTTCAAGCATCTCCCACTGTCTGTTTTCTTCTATTTGCCTTACTTTTACCTCCACACTGCCGATATGCGTTTAGCAGTGCTGTCTCAAGAGCTGATAGAGCAAGGAGGCCAGGGATAGAAACCTCTCAAATTCCAGCAAAAGACTGGATTTTTGAAGTTCCCTCCCTCCCTGAGTCCCAAGTGCTTTACAAGAGGTCCTACCTGCCTGGCTGAAGTTTAATTTTACAACTGCTTAAGAGGTGTGTTGGTGTGAGTATGTGTGTGTCTCTGAGAGAGAAAGCAGCTGCTAAAATCAAGTTGCAATTGAAACACAAGGCTGGCAGGAATACTGCAGATAGGAAGATCATGTGTTGCACTGTCTGATGAAGTTGAGAGCATCCTGGCAGCCCAGAAGCCAGATCATGCCAGCTTGTGCCCCCTGGAAAAGCTCTACCCTTGTAGTCTGTCCTATTCCCTTTGCAGGGAACAACACACACCATAAGATTTCTTCCAGGTTTCTTCGCTCAAATCTCTTTGCAGTGCCAGCTGGAGAGTGTCCATTGGGTAGGAGAGCTGCCCAGGGCTGGTTACTCTGCTCATATGGACTGTTCATGGAGGGATGGGAAGAGATACGTGATGCCTGTGATGTTCCCCTGGAGCAGAGAGCTACTGTCTTGCATTTTCACGGTCCAGAAATATCAGGATTTCAGTCCTCAAGCAGAAGCATTAGACACTGCAGTGTTGTTTTGACCCATTAATTTCAGCATGCATCCCAAGGGTGCAGAGCTTACACATTCAGCGTTTCGATGGAGCAGCTGTTGTTGGGGTGGTCAAAAATACATGACTGTGCTGTGCATGGGAACGACTGGGAAGAGCACGTGGTCCCTGAGGGTCAGCTCTGCTGGGTGTCGTACCTGTGTACACGGGCACGTGGGGCTGAGTGTGCATCTCTGCCACTGAACACCTTCCCCACATCCCTGTGTCCCGCGTGAGCACATTTGGCACACAGCACGTGAGAGTATGTGTTGACATCCGCCTGCCAATTGCAAGAGGGCAGCTGTTGTCGTGTGCAGAGCTTGAAGTGGCTCCATTTTTGGATGAGTTGATGACTGCATCCCAGGAGTGGCAAGTAGTCAGGTGCACTGAAAATACTGTAACGTCTTCTTGGAAGTGAAGAGCCGAAGAGGAGAAAAGTAGTT